TCACTGTAATCTCTTCCGGTCAACCGAAATCAAAATGTTCCAAAATCTGACAGCAGTAGAGTCACGGCATAGCGTGAGCAAATCTCAATTTTGAATGTTACTCCTGACTGTTCTGAGTGTTCTTATTGGGCATGTGCCCACAATAATTATCACAATAATTGTCTAACCTTTACTCACAGCTTATAACATCATGACAATATATGTATTAAAATATATTTTAATAATATTTAATATATTAAAACATACTTTAAAAATGATATCTTTAAAGATTTCGCTGTTGTCGGAACAAAACCTTGTATCTCCAAAATGGTCACTTTAAAGGAGAAGGAAAAAACATACTTTACTTTTAATGTAAGTCAATGGAACCAGACATTTTTCCAAGTCATTTTTTGCCATCTCTTTTGGGCCATTCAGTATGAAATTTACAGACAATTTAAAGGGCAACAGGCATTTTGAAATTATGTCAAAAACTGAAAAACGACAAAAACATAGATACAAGGTTTTGTCCTGACTGCAGCGATGTGTTTTTGTACTTTAAAAACTATATCTTTAAAGACGTTTTTGACGTGCAGTATACATGTAAATAACACTGTTCATATAACGATGCTCACTGTGTATTGTTATTATTACACAGGACTATTTGCAGTTAGGACTGGACCTGAGAACCGTAGAGCACTGCAATCTTTACCAAGAGCTTGGAAAAAAAAATACAGCTCTAATGAACCACTGTAGAAAAGGAAACTCACACAGACTTCTGAGAAACAAACTTGTTACAACGTTCAGGTAACTTTTTAACTTTGTATGTTGCAGTTTTATAGTGAATCATTAAGCCTGACTCAAACTGTAGCTCTGAGTATTCCCTGATTCACCTGTTAGCCCATTCGCTGTCTGTCGAGCTGCTTGTTAAACAAAACCAGACGCTTAAATAAGGTTCGGTTTTCTTTCAAGCTGTTTCTTTCATACACACACACAGTTTGTGAACATGTGTTCATGAGATGAGCATCTTTTACCTTCTCCAAGCTGGGTGGGACGTGTCCACAATAGCAGCACAGTGCGTGTTTAATTTAAGGGTATAGTGAAGTACCAAATACCAGCACACATCCATTTCTTACAGTTTCTTTGTCCATTGCTGTATGAAAATCTGAATATTAATGTCTTGTGTCATACTGTAAACCATACTGCAACCACCGTATTGAGGAAGAAAGTTATAATGTAATATTTTATCCATACCGTGTCTCCAAATCTACAGTTATAAAATCAGGGAATTGAAGTTCTATCTTCAGGGGGTTGAACCAATTCCATCAGCAGGAAAGGGAGCTCATATATCACTCCAGATTCAAAGCTCAGCAGCGCACATGATCGTTCAGAACTGGTGCCGAAGAACCTTTAGCCTCCCATGAGGACGAGTAAATCAGATTCATGTCATCCAACACCAGTAACACGAATGCACGGCGCAATAACCCAGCTTGTTTATGTAATATATACTGCAGAGCACGTGTGCCATGAATCAGACTAACAACATACATCAGTTTTCCCCTAAGTAAATGATGATAATGTATCATTCAGCAGATGGAGCTACAGCATATCTTCACTTCCAATAAGACTGAGACGTCAGCACTGCTTGATGAATGGGCTGAACATACTGGCTAGCCTACATTATACCATTTACACCTCAACTCGATAGCATACATCAACACAGCCCTGATCTATCAAGGCCACCCTATATTTCACATTCCATCTTGCCAATTACAGCTATTTCAGACTTGGCCCGCCATGTCAGGGTTACGGTGTAAACAATATGACTGCTCTAAGTAGCAGACAGTGCTGGAAAACATGATGTTCGGCACATATTTCTAAAGAGACGCTTCCTTTATGTTCCTTCTGCAGCTTTGTGCTCTGCAATAAAAGTGCTGGTGAATGTTTCAGCTTTTGCTGCAATTTTCAAGGCCACATTGATTGTTCGACACTGTCCACAGTCGCTGATTTTACCCTGCAGCAATCTGAATACAGCGTTTAGGTTTACTAGACATATGGAATGTCTGGATCATATACACATCTCCGTGTATAAACAGAGTGAGTCACTGATGAGAAGATTTGATGCAGTTGACAAAGCAGCAACAAATATACTACAATAATCCTGCGAACACAAGTCTCATGTGCACCCTTTCAAATTGAACATCATTTTAAATTCAGTACATCTTCATAACTGTTTAGGAACTGCGACGTCAGCATGCGAATGAGTTATTGATTTGATTCCCCCTTGATATGATCTGCTTTAAACTGCAATATCATCACAATTACGCTCTAATGGCAAAACTGCTTTTTTTACACGCTCGCTGCTCAATTTCAAATTGAGCCTAATCAAGAAAAGCCCTGTAGAATACAGAGAATTAGGGAATTATGGGTTTCAAATCGTTCCAGTGTGTAGAGAAGTATCACACGTTAACGACCGATTCAGTATTTGTGAGTTCGCTGTCTGCATGCTGGCGCAGGACTAAAGGAAAGAGTGGGTGAAAAGGCTCAGTGAGTAGGAGCGGCAGTGGCGTTTGGTGGGGGTGTTTACCGAGCAGAGTCGATGCACAGTGTGCTCTGCAGGACAGCAGGAATGTGTTTAAAAGAAAAGAACAGCGTTTTTTTTATTTCTATACACTGCGTCTGTAGCATATTGTCACTGTCCAAAGAAAACCAAGTAACTTTACAGAAGAAGGGAAGAATATTTTCTCTTTTTCCAAACAATTTAGAACCATTTCTATTGGTCTGTTCATCACGAAACTATGAAAGAGTTTCAATGGCAGCTGGAATTCTTAAATCATGTGAAAAAAACAATTAAAAAACGACAAAAACGGAGATATAAAGTTTTCTTCTGACAGTGACGATATGGTGAATTACAATCGACAATATTATCCTTGTACTTAAAGCACTCAAAGTAGTCTTGGAACATTCTCTAAATACAAATTATGTCTTTTCTATTTATTACTTTTCAAGCCAAAGTTATCATTTATTCAGTATTTCCCTCAGACATTATAAAATCATAACCATGAGGAATAATGAATAGGTTTACTAACTGAAACTCAAAATGATTCCAGGAATTAACTGAACTCTTAAATAAGGCAAGTAAAAGCAGTCAAACTTTAGCAGACAAACAGTGTCTGTTTCCTTTGCGTCAGTCAGTATTTAGTACTTTATTCAGATTAGATGTTCAGATTATTCAGATTAGTTGTAAAATTTCTCTATTTCTGGATGACTGCTGAAGTCTTCTAGGCACAGAGTGTGAGTTCGCAAAACTGGGGGGCTTGCTGAGTTTGTATATTGCACCTGTAGCAAATGGTCAGATGAACACTAACACTTTTGCACCTACAGTGCTCGAAAGTCTCTGGACACTCTCTGAAGACAATTTTAGTCTGTTTTAAAACAGGCCACTACTTCACACTCGACTTTGAAATGTTCAGTGTGCCTGCGATCCTTCTCACAGGCATTTTGCTAACAAGAGATGATATTTTATTGACAGATCAATTCAATCAATATTCAAGTTTTCGAAATCTCATTTAGAATATTAATGAAACTTTGAGTCAGAATAGCATCAGAGATCTCTCGTTCGATGTATTTTGACGTTTTTACATGTATGTACATTTGGGACTGGACCCAAAGTATTTGATACATTATAATGTAGCTGAAATTGCTTTTGAATATGGCATAGCACAATATTCATAACACACCATAATCATCAAAAAATATGATAGCGGTGTCCCGAGACTACTTTTCAGCATAGAACAGAAAAAATTGAATTTATAAAATAGGCGTTAATTGGCATGTGCTGAACTCGGCTTTTAAGTCAACATATTTTCAGTTTCATTACTAAGTACAAGGAAATTATTCTCCACAATAATCGACTGTATGCTGCAGATGCATATAGTCAGAGATTAGGTTGAAAAATGCTGGAGTGTTTATTTAATGCCTTAGAAAACAGTCTAACACAACGATGAACCCCCTCGAATGGCTGGAGAAACGTCTTCCAAGTTTACATTCCAAGTCTTGCTGCCTTGATTTAGATATTACATCAGCTTAACAATCTAAATACAGGATTCTGCAGCAAAGATATTTCCATGTTTATAACCGTGCTCCATCGCAAATATGAGACATATTCATTTACACAGCAAAAAAATGAAGTGAAATTATCTTAAATGTAGTCTAAATATCTTGAGATGACTGTATTGAACTTATTACTAGACTTTTTTACTTGTTTTAGACAACCTTATTAAGTGAAATTATCCCACTGTCTGACATCATTTTACTAAATAAATGTCTAGAAATAAGTTATAACAAGCTTATAACAATGTATTAGACATATAGACTAGTTTTAAGATAATTTCACTCATCAATGCCAGTTTTTGCAGGTGTAGGTAGCCAAACATCTTTAGTGCTCTGAGATTGTGTTAAACTAGGACATTAAAGCATTTAGACCTGCATGACTAAACAGATAGACTTAATCCCCACAGTTGGCTTTACTGGAGCTCCAACTTAACACTGTACACTGTGTAATAAAGTGAGTGGGGCTTGTTGGCTTTAACATCTGGACTCATGTTTACAGACAAACAAACCAAAGGTGAGCCCAAGTCCGTATCACATGTCATGTTTATCAGCCGTGGAAACTCGTGGCTCCATCTTGGCTAAACTTCTCTGGATAAGCCTGTGAGGCGGTTTCACTTCAGCAGCGTTAAAAGTCGCTTTGTAAACCAGTTCATGTTCCCACAGCCGCGCTTTCCCCCGGCAATGGTTTCAAACTGCCGGTATGTTTCACACAGAACGCACCTGCTGAACAAACTGTGGGTTTTCTGAGGTGAAAAAGAGGAAACGCGAGGTTTTCTGTGAGGGAGATGTGAACCTGTATCGCGTAAACACTCGGAGTCCTGAAGGCTGGTATCCTCACACCTGTACGGAGCAACGACATCCTCACAGCTCACACACACACACACACACACACACACACACACACACCTCACCTCTTTCTCCTTTGGCGGCTCTCGTCTTTGGTCAGGTATTTTCCGGCTGTTCAGGAGGATGAAATACAGCAGAGCCGCCAGCCAGAAGAGCGCAGCCAGAGCCAAAGTGAGCTTCCGAGAGAGCCTCTTCATGTCTCTCTTTTTGTTGTTGTTGTTTGTTTTCAGGTCTTCAGGCGGCTGTTTAAGCTAAGCTACATCTTCCCTCAGCAGTGTCAGAGTCTTTCTGAGAGGCTTCCGCTCCTCTCGCCCCTCCGAAATCTCCCCGAGCTGTGCGGAGACTCGCTGTGGGCGACGGTGAATCGTCGTCCAGCTTGATTAAAATCATCCCGTCCCCCCGCTGAGGTAACGACCAAATGTGAATGAGTTTAGCACCACCTACCGCGGAATGATCTGGACACGTCTGCTTTTCTCTCTCCTCCCCGCACCAACTTCTCTCAGCCCGCTCAGCCTCACATCTCTGCTCACAAGACCGTCTGAGGCGCCTGATAACCAGCTGCGTTCACTCAGTGATGTGGTGGTGCTCGGTTAGAAATGAAGGTTCTGTTCAGGTACATTTTTCATCCATCAAGGTACAAACAGTGTAAATGTTCCCTCAAAGCTCCAACAGTGGTTCTAAGGTCTGATTGTGAACCTTAAATAAGTTTTTCCAGGTGAAAAGTTCGTATTTGTACCTTTTCATAACCGAATGTTTTAAACAGAACAGTAAAATAAAAGCCTGGAGACGAGACGGGGTGTGTGGAGTCAGTACAGCTTAGAACATATCATTTCAGTGGATTATGGTTCAGTTATGTTCCCTGACTAAAGGTACTGAGATGGACCCTCGAGGGTTCCACCCCAGTGACAAGAGAGGAACTGACCCAGAGACAGTTTAGTACCTTTATTTCTGAGAGTGTAATATGTGACACTTGAGTAGTGGCCCAAAAACTACTTGGACACTTTTAACCATTGATAAACTTTAATTAAGTTCTTTATGTGACTTCATAAAATGTGGAACAAAACTTTTATTTAATTCTACATAATTAAATGGTTGAGATGTAAACAGAGTCGTTCAGAGTGGTTTGGTGTGAAACACTTCATTCTGGCGAAACTTTCCGCGTCAGAATTGTTCACAGTGGTGGTGATAGGAACCAGACGTCTGAAGAGTTGAATGCCTGTAAAACCTCCCTCACAGAAAGCTATTATGCAAAATGGTTATGAAGGCTGCCTGATTTCATCATTTTACGAGTTTTGTGACAAATTTTTGACTTAAAATATATTTTAATCCATTCATTGAGCCACTGACAGGACAGGCCCATTGGGCACCAGCTGGACACTATATTACATCTCTTCACTCATATTATTATGCACTGCCACTCTGATTATACATATAGTCATATTTCATATGACTAATTTGTAATTTGTATTTTTATACTGCATATTACTCTTATTTATTGTTTTAGTATATTTTATCTATCTATCTATCTATCTATCTATCTATCTATCTATCTATCTATCATGGTGTACATGCAGGGCGTTGTAAGACAAAATAGTCCCCAAAGAAAATATTTATGTTTTACGAATAATATCACATATAAAACCTCAGAAGATGTGTGTACGTTCACTGGTCATTTTGGATAGTACACACATTGTGTTATAGACATTGTGACCTCTGGTTCCAGAAAGACTGAATTATTCAGAAATTTTGAAAAAGTGGTGGAATTCCCCTTTACATTTTGTTTCAGAGAAAAACGTCAATCTCATGGTAGAATTTCTGGAGAAAGCCTCGAGAAAGGTTCCAGCCAGACTGCACTAAGAGTACAGAAGTGGACACGTCGAAGTCTGGGTCATGGTGTCCGTGAGCTTGTGTTCAGTGACGGGATCATAAACTCGGAAAGACGTTTTGGATGAAAACCTGCAGAACTTTGCAAAGAAATTACTGAAACGAAAGAAATGGAAGTGGATCAGCAGGATAATGATCTGAAATACACCAGCTGCCCTTTGAAAGGTCATGGATGGTCTGTTTAAGTTAAATACCACTTAGTTTGACATTTTGTTTCCTAACACTGTTAAATACACCAGCAAAGACCAGCCTCAATTCTGTCTACATTGGTCTATACTGGTTTATGCTGGTATAGTGCTGGTCTGGTGCTGGTTTAGCTGGGCACCCAACACAATCATGCTGGTTGTCCAGCATTCCAGCATTCAAAACACAGAATATGGTGGTTTTGCTGGTGACCAAAACACAAATATTGTGGCATTGGTGTAGAACATGAATGGAGAGAGGTCATTATTTCTGCCACCAGAAGTGCTCTTTTACTTACACCAGCAGAAAAGGCACATGGACAAATATGCTGGTTTTGTTGGTGACCAGCTCTGCTGGTCTATGCAGTTTTGTTTTTCTAGGAGGGAACACACTTAATACATTTCAAGTGTGACTAAAATGTCCAAATACTTTTTGGTGCCATTGTATTTTGTGAGTATCCTTTACACTTGGCTGTTTTATGCGTCATGAGTATCAGGATGACATCTGGAAAGAGACTGTCTACATAAAAATTAACAATCCAGGCTTATTACATACAAATGTTTATTATTCAGTAGCTACAGAGGCTTCTATGCAAACTAGAGGTGTGTAATAATACTTTGCCCATCGCTTGTTAGGGGTTAAAACAGTTTTAAAACCACTTCAGGAGGTGATCTGCCAGATGTTAAATAAGTATAAATGCATCCATCTCTCTGAGCCACAATCGACAACCAAACCCCCACCTTATACTCCCAATACTCCCCCTGCTGTTAATGACTGTAATTGTAAGTGTATAGGAGGTAGTCTGTTATACCCACATAGACCCTATATACTCATGTAAAAGTGCAGTTAAAGCAACACTATGCAAGATTTGGGGATTTGGAGACCTCTCTGGTGGAAATATGTAATTGCATGAATGTGCGGAAGAACGTTTTGTCATGTCAGTTGTGCTTTGGACCCCCACAAGCTACATGAATCTGACTTTTGTAAGCGATGTGATGTTCTGGATTGTGTTCGTATCTTCATCAGTGTAATGTTGATTTTGCATTTGAGACCAAAACATTGAGCCGGACCTTTTTTTTGAGCCTGTACATGTGACATTAACATGAAAGGACATATGATGTGGTCTGAAAAACGCCAGCCAAATCTGTTCCGGTACCTCTGAATTTTGAATGATCATTTCAGGTTTTACAGGGCGACTCACAGTGGTTTCTCCATACTCAGTAATGCTACTTCTTTCAATTTTAACCAAAAATATTACACAGTGCTGCTTTAAGACAAGGCCAAGTTGAATAGCTCTATTCCAGAAGTAGAACATGACCCTGCAGATCTGTTTAGTGTTCAGACATGAATTTCACCATATTTGCAGGGCATGTACGAAAAGCAGTGGCTACACAGGATTTTTTTTCATGCAAGCTTCCTGGGCAAAGCAGGTCCTTACAAGAATGTGTTTAACATTTTATTTTCTCTTTAATCTGTTTCACAAGGCTGGGTTTGTACCATCAGCTGTTGTCTAACTATTGCCTCTGTTGACTCCGTGCTGACTTCATAGGCATGGCTGGCAACATATGTATCCCTGACTGACACCATTTTTAATTCAAATTAGAATTTAGAAAAAGTCTCCACTGTACACTGCATTAGCATGCGGGGCCTGCGGTGCCTTGGAGTTATCCTTCTTTAGCGTCTGTCGAATCACAGGAGATATAAAAGCACATTGTTGCTTTATTCTTCGGTTGCTGGGCCTGCGGGAACACATTAGCATAGTTCTAATTAGCTCTCATGCTGCGTGCCAGAGGTTGAACATGCTGCTCGGGGAGTCTTCTTACAGGAGGAGGTTAACCTGAGGACGTTCCTGTGCAGGAGAATGAAAATTCTCTTCCCTCGCTGGTATTCACAGAGGCCCTTGAGAAGAAAAAAAAAGGGCCTTATTTAGTGCTCGCAGTGCTGACATTATGGAGGACAACTCGCAAAGTCAACGTTGCCACTTTTGGTGACGTCTAGAGGCCTGGACCCAATTTAGGAGGAAAAAAGCATGATCCTGTTGACAAATGATGGCCCAGTTTAAGAGATGGTGCTTAGGAGGTGTCTTATGATACTTATCAGCCCAATCTCAGGGGCGTCCTCGTGGGAGCTCTGCGTCTATGTGAAATTGGATTTATGAAGTGTCAGATATATTTTTGCTCTCTGCGTGGTAATGCGAAGCTGTGACAGCAGAGAGATGGTTTCCGTGCTCTGATGAGGAACGAGCTCTTGCTCAAATCTTATGACTGATGTTGCAGAGAACAGGCTGGATTTAAAGGAGTGTGTATGTCTACAAAATGTTTTCATACATTTTCAAGACAAAAAAACTGGAGACTTGCTTTAGATTTTTCTAAGAAATCTGCAGGGATATTTTTACACCCCCCCAATGTTCAGTCTTAGAAGTTGGTTGCATTTTCTGCTTCTCACGATCCCAGAACTCCAAGCATATTTAGTGACGTTAAAGACTCTGGAGTGGACCCTCCATTGGTCTGAGAATACAAGCAGCTTCTTTGCTTAATTTCCCATTTTGGTTTCTTGACCAAAATGCTTTCAGACACATAGGACTCAGTTGTCTCCTTACAGTGGAACAATGGATAGAAACACCTGTGGATTTCAGATCTAATGCAAATTTTTATCTGATGGTGACAGTTTTGGTCTATAAGGTCTTGGATGGTTGTTAGAAGTACCATGTTCTCTATATCTTTTAATAATTTTTCAAACTCTAGTTTAGAAAAGATCCTGTTTTTTCAGTTACTTTCCGTCTTATGTCTAACATCCAGAAATATCTCAGAAATATCTCCTGAAAAATTAATAACTTACACTGAAAGGTATGTTTGACTAGAAATTAAATGAATGAAAGGTGGTCTCTGACTTTTGGGCTAATTAGTTTTTTAATTTTTTCTATATGTGATACATGTAATAAAAATAAATAAACTAAGTAATAGTCAGTAAAAGTAATAGTAATAGTAAAGTTAGAAAACCATGTATTTTTATAGGATTTTTTTAAACATTTGTAAAAATATTATTATAGGAAAAACATTATAAACATCCATTAATACAACATTTAAAAAAAAACTTTAAAGATTTCTGCTGACTTGTTTGAACAGTAAAAGTGCAGCTGATGTTTTCAATGGTTTTAAAAGGTAACAGAATTTTTGCTTATGATGATGACAAAACATTGGTATCAAACCTGTTATGATAGCATGACCCTGCTTGTTTTGGCACTGCATTACTAAGAGCATGGCTAACTATTGCATGACATTTCTAACATCTCAAAGCCAGAGCTAAAATGCTTAGATGGACCAGTGCACAATCTGTCTCCTGCTAATGTTTAAAGACATGTGGATAAGTAACTGAATATTGCAGGAAGTGCCGGCCTCCTGCTGGCAGACCCTAGACAGATGAATCAGATGTAAGGAAAGAAGATTAAGAGTAATGTTA